TCATTCTCTCTAGAAATGGTTTGTATACTAAGTGTAAATTTATATGTGTGCATATACCTACAATACAAATCCTTAGGTTAAAACTAATTTTTAATTAAAATATTTGCCTCTTGGGTGCCTGGGTGGCTCAGTCAGTTAAGCAACTGTCTTTGGCTTAGGTCATGATCCTGGGGTCCTGAGATGGAGGCCTGCATCCCCGGTTCCCTGCTCGGCAGGGAATCTGCTTCTCCCTCTCCCTCCGCATCTCCCTCCCCTCCCTGGCTTGTGGTCTCTCTCAGTCACTCACTCCCTCTCAAATAAATAAATAAAATCTTAAAAAAAAAAATAAAACATTTGCCTCTGACTCATCCTCTTCTTCCCATTGGTTCCCTTCCCCCCAATACCACCGCCAAGAGAGTAAGTGTAAGAAAAATTCTGGAGCTTTCAAAGTACTGATCAGAGGTAAGAAAGTCAAGGAACTTTGAAAAACAGAATTTAGAAGGACTAATCCTGGGAACATCTGTATATGTGGTGATTCCCAAGGCACTTTCTTAAAGTCATGACAGTCTACAGATTAAAAACTCATTTGGGTTAATATTGCTTTCAAAAACGTGAACATTTCTGGGACGCCTGAGTGACTCAGTCGGTTAAGCGTCTGAGTCGTGATTTCAGTTCAGGTTATGATCCTCATGGGTCATGGGATCCAGCCCTGCACTCAGCGGGAGTCTACTTAAGATTCTCTCTCCCTGGGGCACCTGGGTGGCTCAGTCGTTAAGCATATGCCTTCTGCTCAGGTCATGGTCCCAGGGTCCTGGGATAGAGCCCTACATTGGGCTCCCTGCTCCGCGGGAAGCCTGCTTCTCCCTCTCCCACTCCCCCTGCTTGTGTTCCCTCTCTCGCTGTGTCTCTGTCAAAAAATAAATAAAACCTTAAAAAAAAAGTCTCTCTTCCTTTTCCCTTTGCCCCTCCCCCACTCGCTGTCTCTCTTAAAAAAAAAAGTGAACTTTTCTTAGTTTGGTAAAGTGGTGTCAGATTGCCACACTTCAAAATTAATTATCTGTCGGGTTTGGCCAGCAAACCCTGAGACAATGAATGAAAAGATTACTCCAGACACCTTAGTAGGAGAAAGGAGAGACCTGGGGACCAGACGCTCTAATGGCGAAAGGCCTCGAGCCAAGCTTTGTCTCCACTTTTATTGGGGTCGTAGCAATACACCAAGCACAAGCGCAAAACAAGGAGGCAAGGAGTTCATGAAGTACGTGACCACCACAGGTGCCTGTTTTTCTTCAAAATTTAAACATTTACTCCCTAGATGAGAACCTTGAGCCGCAGTAAGAATCTGGCTGCTTTCAGCCAAGCAACTTCAAAGGAGGCCCAGCGTTCCGGGCACTCCTTTATTTTTCAAGTTGTCTCACCCAGGGTGGCATATACAAGTCACATTTTGACTATCCAGGCACCGCGAATTCCCACAATTATCTCCACCTTCACCCCCTTGATGTTTCTCTAACGTCTAGCCAGGATTATCAGCAGTGAGTCAGAGAAAGTAAAGATAATTTTAGTGAATGGTAGAATGGGCTCTGGGCAGTTCCGAGGCATCCCAAATGTGTTATCAAGTTAATGTGGCTCTGGCATCAGTATCAAAAGGTGAAATTTGTCAGGTAAACCCATAGGAAACAGAAGAGGCTCTAAGAGGGTGAATGATAGTTGAGGCAGCTGCTTCACCACAATAAGATAACAGAGAACGGCTAGGGGTAAACAGGAGCTTAACTGGCTGTGATAAGACTGGGACATTTCCACACACTCCAGTGTTCTCCCACAGCACTTAAAATAAATCCAAACTCTTCACCAGGACCTATAAGGCTCTACAGCATCAGGCATTTGTTTATTTCTTCAGCCCCATCTCATACTATGACTTTCTTCTCAGCTCACTAAATTTCAGCCCCATTGGTATTCTAGCTATTTCTTGAACAGGATAACCTTGTTATGGCCTTAGGCCTTTGCACTTGGTGTTCCCTCTGCTGGGAACGCCCAGCCCCAGATCACCTGGTGTCTTTTCACATAATTCATGGCCCAGCTCAGATGTCACCTCCTCAGAAAGGTCTTCCAATTTAAAATAGACACTCTCCACTTCCACCAGCCCCCCTTTCTGCATTCTCTATCTCTTCTCTGTTTATCTTCCCAGCACTTATCACTTTCTGAAATTATCTTGTTTATTTATGTCCTATTGCCTGCCTTTGCCCTGAGTCTCTAAGTACTTGAGAGCTGAGACTGTCTTGTTACCTTTGTGCCCCGAGTTCCTAAAACCATGCCTGGCTTGTAGTAGGTATTCAATAAATGTATGTTGAATGAACAACTAAATAAATGAGTTGCAGTGATGATGGAGTAGAAATTAAGACAGAACATCAACTTGTTGGTCTGAGAGGGTGGAAGGAATGGGAGTAAGGAAGAGCTATGATGTAGGAGACAATGTGTTCAGGATGGAATAAAAGCTCAAATTTGCCATTCTGTGACATGGAAAAGTTACTTACCCTTGCTGAATGTCACTTTCCTCAGCTGTGAAATGAAGATAACTATTGTAATATGTCCAATTTAAAGATTCAGTTAGGTGAAATAATGAATATATATATACATAAAGAGTAAGGTGCAGAGAAGGTGCCCAATAAATAGTAGACATTATTACCATCAATACTGAGCCAAATAAATTTCTGCATGCTTAGTGTGTTGACACTGAGGATGGGAAAGCTCAAAAACTTCCTATTCAATTTTCTTATTTTTCTAAAATATGCCTTTTTATACGATTTATTATATGTTTATAAAGGTAACAGTAACTTTAGTGTATTTTGCATATCAAATAAAATATTCATATAGACTTGGTTTTCAGATGCAGCCAAATAATAAATTGGACCATAAAGTATGAATACTATACCTAGCGATGAAATAGTAGTATACATGAATAGAAGAGACATAATGGTTGGTCATAAAATATGATTAACCTAGTTGAAACAAAAGGCCTTAGTACCTCACAAGTGGTGAACTCATTAGTGGGTTATAGGAGTTCCACATGAGTGAAGAAATCATGTATAATGGTTGCTCATTACATACCCTATTTATTCGTAGGGTGCCTTTTTTGAAGCTTGTTTTTTCAATTAAGTTTAAGCAAGAAGAGAGAAAAGTATAACTTAAGAATATATTTAAAAACAGTATTATTATGGGAACTTGGTCTGTATTAATCAAAAGAAACTTAACCCTTAATGATAAAGTGTGTTTGGTCTGTATTCCATGTCTGACCAAGCCATTTAACACTGCTTTCAAATCAAGACTTTTATGAAGCAGAACGTTTTGATGGGCTATTTCTTCCCTCTCTCCTTTTTATTATTACTATTACTGCTTCTGTAGCCTGATTCACTACCACTGCTGTGACTTTGGGTAGTACAATTAACCTTGCTGGGCCTCAGTTTCCACATTTGTAGGACACCAGTGTTGCCTACTGTACCTCATAACTTAAAACATGATACTACTTGTGAATGTTGGAAGCACTTTAAAATATCATATGCATGCAGTATGTTATTGCAGAGCATTCAGTACAGTGGCTTTTATATAATTGGGTGGTCAATAAATATTAGCTGAATGAACAGAACCATTATGATAACTGGCCCAGCCTTGCTAGACAGAGATTGGAGGGATAGGAGTCTGACTTACCTCCTTTACATGTATTTATATCTGTAAGTGCCAGGAACATAGGAAACATACAAATGCTTGCCTCATATTTCTCTCCATTAAGATAATTTGAGAATTATTTCACCAATGCTAAGGCTTTTTTGTACATAGTAGCAAATGTTTTAAATATGTCTTCATTTGAAAATTTTGTATCTTTTTAACTGGTGTTTTCTTTTTCAAGTTTTTATTTAAATTCAAGTTAACATACAGTGTAATATTAGTTTCAGGTATAGAATTTAGTGATTCAGCACTTACAACACCCAGTGCTCATCACAATAAGTAAACTGGTTTTCAGTAGGAATTAGTAATTTAGTAGATTTTTTTTATGCTTCTATCTCAATACAAGTAGTATGCTCCTTGTCTAAGACATAACTTTCAGTTTACTAGTACTAGGACACTGCTTCGTTTGTCATCTATATTATCTATGTCATCTCCATTTCTATGCATATAGATATCTATATAATATATATAATTATCATGTATCAGATAATTACAATTATCATAGTTTATTTAAACAAATATTTTGCTTATTCTGGTATAGTTAATACCTCTATAATTTATATTGTGTCAGGCACTTTTCTAAGTGCTTTGCTGTGAAAACCTGCAGCTTGTGAGGTGAGGTACTCTTATTATCTACATTTTGCAGATGAAGAAATTGAGACCCAACGAGATTAAGTAATAAGATCAAGGTCACACTGTTCATAAGGATTAGACCAGGGATCCACACCCACATGTCTGGCTCCAGGTTCCATGCTCTCAAACCTTACCCTACATTGCCTTTACTAAACACCTATATGAAATGAAGCCATTTCAAATATCAGTGTAGAGAGTTAGGCTAGCTGCCCAACCCAAAGAAGATATTTTGAACTTGGCTAGTTACTCTGAAAATTAATCTGCAAAGTCTTTTTGCCTTCATTAAGTAGGTATACTTTTTTTTCCCCCTATGCAGTTATGACCTCTTCCAACATAAGGACCACTCTTGGGGTGCCTGGGTAGCTCAGTTGTTAAGTGTCTACCTTTGGCTCAGGTCATGGTCCCGGGGTCCTGGGATTGAGCCCCACATCCGGCTCCCTGCTTGGCGGGAAGCCTGCTTCTCCCTCTCCCACTCCCCCTGCTTGTGTTTCTGCTCTTGATATCTTTCTCTCTGTGTCAAATAAATAAATCAAATCTTAAAAAAAAAAAGACCACTCTTAATTATTTCTATTTTTCCTGAGCCTGATGTATTGCCCATCACACACCCAAAACATTGTTGAAAAAATAAATAAAAGAATGACTGATGCAGTTAATTGGCAAATTAAAGGAAGGGTTAGGGTAACTGGATGCTTCAGATAGAAATTTTGTTCTTGAGAAACAATAAAATATTTTGGTCTCCATTAATCAAAGGAATAGCCTGTATTAATCTATTTCATTGGGTAAAAAAAAAAATCACTAATTTAATTAGCTTAGTCTATCATTTGTGCCCTTCAGTCATAAACTATCAGAGATTATTCTTGTGATTATTTTAACAGGGCCCAAAAATTGAATTTGAAATTTGAGTACATAGCATTCTGATGATACCATAATGTTGTCTAACACTACAAACACAGAATTTTATTCAAATACGGATTTTCAGCAGCTATTTCAGTGTCTTAAAATATTACAATACATTTAAAAATCTAGTAAATTGGGGCACCTGGATGGCTCAGTCGGTTAAGTGTCTGCCTTCGGCTCAGGTCGTGATCTCAGGGTCCTGGGATTGAGCCCTGCATCGGGCTCCCTGCTCGATGCTTCTCCCTCTCCCTCTGCTGCTGCTGCCCGTTGTGCGTGCTCTCTCTCTCTCTCTCTCTCAAATAAATAAAATCTTAAAAAAAAAGAGGAAGCATAAACAAGACTTTTTCCTTTGTCTTCTCACCAAAAATTACAACTTTATCTTTTTATAATGTATACGGGTTAAAGCAAAACTCTGTTGACTTGGACTGGCATGTTTTAGGATACACTCTTGTACTCCTTAAATACTGAGGATACAGGAAGGAAAGATGTAAATCAAATAGAATAATTCCTAGTCATAGACATTTATATTTTTAATAACTTGTCCATGGGAATTATTATCTAGCACTACAACACTTAGATCAATTTATAGAGCTTAAAAAAATAAGTTCTACAGGTCTGAATCTAATTTAGGGCATATGAAAATTCTTGATGTTTTTAAAAAAACCTCAGATAAATAGAGCAGCTTTCTTTACTGAAATAAAACACTAAGTCTCCCTGATTTGAGTCAGGTAATGTTTTAATTTTAATAAAATTGACCTTTGAGTGGGACAAAATAAACAGATTGGCTAGTTCATAAACCCTGCTATATACAAAAATATTTCTTAATACATGCTTAGGCCTTAGAGTTCAGGAAAGCAGGCATGCCTGGCAGCTAGTGGTGTTGACAGCTGAGCAACTCCAAGTAGAACATAAAGGCAAAAAGAAAAGCTCAAAAGGAAAGCATCTAGGACTCTTATCAATGAAGAATCTCCTTCTTGGTTTTTAATTGCTAAATTCTTATCCTGTGTTGTTTTAATAGGATAGACTTTCCTCAGAAACTTACTTATTTTTAATTACATAAAATTCAGAAAAGCATTATTTTATTTGCATACTTTCTTGAAATTTTTCTTTTTTATTATTTTTTAAAATATTTTATTTATTTATTTGAGAGAGACAGAGCTAGCAAGAGAGAGCACAAGCGGGAAGAAGGGGGAGAAGCAGTCTACCCGCCAAGCTGGGAGCCTGATGTGGGACTCAGTCCCAGGAACCTGGGATCATGACCTGAGCCGAAGGCAGACGCTTAACCGACTGAGCCATCCAGGCGGCTGCAATTTTTTTAAAGTAAGTAATAATACATATTCTCTATTACTATATTTAGCTATAATTTTTCCTGTTATATAATATTCCATTGGGAGAATATATCACAATTTTATCATTTTGTGGCTAGACATCTGGGTTGTGTCTAGTTTTTTTTTTTTTGCTTTTATACACAATTTTTCTATAATTATAATGAAAACATAAATTGAATGAATTAAAGCAAGGGGCATCAGACTAGATGATACCACTTGCATAAAGCTCAAAAACAAGAAAAACTTTGTGATATCTTGTTTGGGGGGTATATGCATATATAAAGAAAACTATTTTTTTAAATAATTTTTTTTAAGATTTTTTATTTATTTGCGAGAGAGAGAATGAGAGACAGAGAGCATGAAAGGGAGGAGGGTCAGAGGGAGAAGCAGACTCCCCGCCGAGCAGGGAGCCTGATGCGGGACTTGATCCCGGGACTCCAGGATCATGACCTGATCCGAAGGCAGTCGCTTAACCAATTGAGCCACCCATGCGCCCCAAGAAAAATATTTTTTAAGTAACAAAATGTTAAACATAAAATGCATGAAAGTGATTATTGCTGAGGATAAGATGGAGAGAAGCACACTAATTTAACAGTATTTGTAATATTCTTCTAAAAATATGTTTATGGTGAGTTCAAGAAGGTCCCTTTTTAAAATGTGCTTTATATCTTATGTAATATTTTGTATATATAAAGTGTTAAATGTTTTCAAAATTAGAAAATAATTATTACATTTGTTTTTCAAACCAACGCTGTGAGGCAGGCTGACTGGATAGAACTGCCTTTTTTTACAGATGAGGGAAATGATATGTGAGTAATTTACCTAAGGTCTAATTGATGGTAAATTTTGGAGAAGGACTAGAAACTTCTCTTCATTAATCAAACAATTAGTTAATTCAATACACATTTCCTCCACTACTCCCCTTCTCTGGGAGAGGCACTACCATCCATCTAATACCTCAGCTACAAACCTGAGAATCATTCATAATGCTTCCCTCTTTCTACTTCTACAACTAATTAGTTACCAATTCCTACTAATATTATCTCCTTAATAGACTGAAGTCAGTTCCTTTCTCATTATTCCCAGGGGCATGACCTTATAGATTAATCTATCTTCATTTTACCCTCAGATTGAGACAACCACCTTCTTACCTTGTCACCAGTCAATTACTACAGTCTTATCTCAATCAAACCCATCGTCAGAGGGAAAACCAGAGTGTCCGTTTTAACATGTGACTCTGGCTTCCATTCCTAATATTTTTTTAATGGCTCCCTATTCCCTCCAGGATGAATTTGATGCTTCTCATTATGGCACTACAAAACCCTCCACAGCCTGGCTCCTGCTGATGCCTCTAGATTGGTTTCTTACTATTCCACCAGCTCATGCAATACACTCTAACTATGTGCTGGTTTCCAGGACACAGACTCTTTTAAAGATACTCACAGGCCCTGAAAATAATTCCTTTTGGAAATCTACATCTTATCAGACATATTAGACCCACATTCCACAAGAAGAATAGCTTACAAAAAACTAAGATTTGAGCAGAGTTGTAGCTGACTGGTTGACATAATACCACATTTTATAAAACTGAATTAAATTCATTCATTCATTCAATACTTACTAGGTGGCTACTACAGGCTAGTTTTTATTTTAGATTCTGAAATTCTTCAGTCACCAAAATAGATAAGTTCCTACTTTTGTAGAGTCTACATTCTATGTTTTAACTATGTTTTGCTATAATTAATTCATGGTTGACTTAATTTACAAATTTCCCTTTTTTATATTTCAGAACCAAAAAAAAAAAAACAAAAACCCAATAGATTTTTTTAGGTCTCAAACATTTTTGCCATCCTTTGAAAGCTCATAGGCCTTTAGCACCATGCCTCTAGTACTATCTTCTGGTTAAGTAGCCCAGTTAAGGTACTACTATCATTCCTGTCCCTAAACTTTCACATGCTGCTCCCTCTGCCTGCCACAATTTTCTACTCCATTCCCTACTCCTTGAAACCCAGTTGAATTTATTTACCTAGCTAACTCTTATGTGTCTTGCCAAAGGAAACTCAGACTCGTCTTTTGCCAGAAATCTTTCCCTGTCTAATGCACCAGCCCTACCCCCAAGTCCAGAACAAATCCAATAAAACTGTATCAGATTGATTTCTTGCTCAAAATATTCCATTGGCATTCTGGCATGTTTAGAATAAAATCCAGAGTCCTTATTACGGTTTTTACAAGATTTTATATGATTTCACCATTGCCCAACTTTCCTAGTTCATTTCCTTCTAGTCTTCTTATTCTTCCCTCTGTTCCAGTTACATTGCCCTCCTGATGTTTTGACACATGCCAAATATGCTCCTGTCCCAGGACCTTTGCATTTGCTGTTATCTCAGCTTGAAATGCTCTTCTTCACATACTAGCATGACTTGCTTCCTTACTTCACTCTAAAATCTGCTTAAAACTTGCTTCTTTGAAAAGCCTTCCCTAAACACCGTATCTAAATAGGACTTTCCTGTTACTCTCTTTCTTCTTTCCAGACTTTTTAAAAAAGATATATTTATTTTTAGAGAGAGAGAATGGGAGCAGGAGGGGCAAAGGGAAAGGGAGAGAATCTTAAACAGGCTCCACTACCAGCACGAGCCCAATGCAGGGTTTGATCTCATGACCCTGAGATCATGACCTGAGCTGAAATCAAGAGTCGGATGCCTAACCGACTGAGCCACCCAGGCGCCCCTTCTTTCCAGACTTTTTAATTTCCTTGTTGCATTTACCATTATTCTGACATTGTATTACATATTTGGTTGTTTATTGTCTGTCCCACTCAGAATAATGTAAACTCTATGAAATCTTGCCTGTATTGTTCACTGCTAAATCCCAGCACCTATGAGTATGTCCGACACATAGTAGGTGATTAACAACTGTATTTTGGATGACTGAATGGCACTAACCACAATAAGCTATAGTCTCTGTAGATATTACAATCAGGGAGACATGTGTTCCTCTATGGCCTCTTACAGCATGCTGCATTAATGAAAATCAATTTATTTGCTCCTTTTCCCCACTTTACTGTCAACAGCTGAAGGACAGAAACTGTCTTATCTTAATGCTTAGGATACGGTGCGACTAGAGTATGCTCAATTAACATTTGCCATGAGAAAATGCATTGAGTGGTCTTCACTGTGCAAGGTATTGCACTAGGTGTTCAGAATTTAAATTATTTATCAGTCTAGAATAAGCACCAATTAGCAAACACAGATGGCCTAATCACATTGACCAACCTTCCCCATAATGCTTTCCAGTACTTTCCCACTAGCTCACCCCAGTGCTTGATAACTCTTTCCTCTGTTGTTTCCCCTAAACTGAGTTCAGTATCTCTACCTTATTGCAATAGTTGTGATCTCTGTTACAATACTCTTAAATAAAGCCTTCCTTGCTAAACTTTCTCTAGTGCAATTTTCCCTTGATAGTTCCCATCATGTGTCTTTGTTCTCTCTTCAGTTTCTGTCGCCCTGTAACATAGCAGGAACCAATTTGTTCATTTCCTTTACAAAAGCTAGTATCAAACTTGAGTCATGGTATAGACCCCCTTTTTAAAGAGGGGTAGAAAATAAACTACTTGCAGACCTCCTAACCTATGGAAACATCTTTTTATTTAAAATGTATACACAAGGGACACCTGGGTGGTTCAGTTGGTTAAGTGTCTGCCTTCGGCTCAGGTCCCTGCTCCATAGGGAGCCTGCTTCTCCTTCTGCCTGCTGCTCTCTCTCTCTCTCTCTGACAAGTGAATAAATAAAATCTTTAAAAAAGAATGTATACACAAAAGAGATCTTTTATAACTGGTACTTTTTAAAAGATTATCATTAAAGTAAAAACACAAATTTGAAAACATTATTGTGGAAATTTTGACCCTGAGGTTGTATGTCCTGTCTCCTTTCAAGTTTTCCAGAGATCCTGGGAAAACAGTTTGAGAAACTAGTTAGAGCCAAGGCCAATTCTCTTCCTGGTGAGATAGCTATTTTTATGCAAAATAGGTGGTAACAGCCCATCATTTTGAAATTTAACCTTCTATTTTGAATTTTGTTTAACTTTCTATTCTAAAGAAACAGTGCTTTAAGAGCCAAAAAAATGGAAGGAGAATCACTGACCCACAAAGGAAGTTTCTATTAAAGAATCCTGACCTTTAGCATGTAAAGCTATAATTTAGAATTTCCTTTATTTATTTTTTTATCTACTCTCTGGCATACATATTTAAAGTTCTATTTTGCCCTCTAAGTGTGTGAACTTGGCCATTGATGCAAACTGTTAATCAGCCTCTCCGTTCTCCTTTTAGAAAGGATTGTCTATATCGAATGGCCTCAATGTGTAACAATTGGCAGATAACTGTCTGGGATTACTGCATACTACTTAAACAAATGATTTGCCCATATAGACCCAGGGATTGGTTTCAAGGTAGGAACATTTACTTGAATACTAGGAAAAAAACTCCTAAAAGGTTGATTTTGATTATAATGAATATTTTAAAAGCTGCTTTTTCAAAGAAAATTTCCATCTGCGTCTTAATTAGTATTAACTTTTATCAATACTACACAGTGGCTTTTTTTTTTTTTGGCTCATCTGTGTATAACATGCAAGTAATATATCTGAAAATTTACTAGGATGAATTATATAACATATCATAGAAAATCATAAAACAAATGGTCAAATTCCTAATAGAACTTTTCTCCCTTAGATTCATGTTCATTCCTTTATAAAATCAATTACTCAGACAGGTCCTGAACAAAACAATAGAGGTAGCTGTTTAATACTTTCCAGCTAGTATTAATAATTTATAATTTAAAAGAACTCAAGTATAGGGCGCCTGGGTGGCTCAGTCGTTAAGCGTCTGCCTTCGGCTCAGGTCATGATCCCAGGGTCCTGGGATCGAGTCCCACATCGGGCTCCCTGCTCGGCAGGAAGCCTGCTTCTTGCTCTCCCACTCCCCCTGCTTGTGTCCCTGCTCTCGCTATCTCTCTCTCTGTCAAATAAATAAATAAAATCTTTAAAAAAAAAAAGAACTCAAGTATAATGCACACACTATTTACAGAAATCTGGACATATGGGGGCTGGGGGGAGGGGAACTTGCCGAAGTGTATCCAGCACCTAGGACGGTTTGTCAGAGAAGTAGCAGAAGCTGTAGAGGCATGCAAGGGGGGTAGGAAGAGAACGTGACCACAGGAAAGCAAAAGCAACTAAAATATATATTCTGTTCAGGGTTGTGAAAGCCAAGAATGCACAGCTGAAGGGATTCCTGAGATACCAACTCCTGAAAGATTTGTGGATTTCAGGTTGTTGATATTAAATCTAAGTACGCTGGAATGAAATAGTTGGTGGATTTTTTTTCCCCTTTATGCAGTTTTTTTTTTTTTTTTTGCATGTTCCTGATCCATGCATGTAGGATGTGATCCATAAATGCGGATTAACTAAAACACAAGAATCTTCCGTCCCTAATTCTATTGAAAAGTACACATGTGTTAGCTTTTATACTCTGAAGAGAAAGGTAAAATCAGTGTCCTTTAAGGCAGCAGTGGCTTTAATGAGGGTGAGTCATAGCACTCAGGGAGGCAAACCTATTTATTTTTATTACACAACATGTTTAACTGGGACCATTGTAAAAAGGCCGAATGACAGACAGGGGCCAAGATCAGATGCATCCTCAGTAGACAGCTGGCAAGCCCTGCCAGAACAAGGATTTAGAGGAGTGTAGCTGGTGAGAAATACCCAACAAGTGGGGGAAGGGGGAGTGGAGAAAAACTCCCTGAAGAAAGTAAAAAAAACAGGTTAATTCCCCTCAGGACTAAAATGTGTGACATAGCTTTTGCATTAAATCAGAAATTTCAGAGTAAGAGGAACTAGGAAAGAACCTAAACTATGGGGAATAATGTTGCTATTGTCTTTGGGAGGACTCCAATAAAAAGTTACTGAGTCTTTTCCAAACCAGCTAGCTTAATGGTGTGCTATTTCTCAAAAAGAACTTGCTTCTAGGAAAAAGGAATTAGGTTTGTTTTCCCATTTCACATTCAATTACACTAGTGAATTTGATAACTAATCAGCTAAGGTGCATATGGTGAAAAGAAACTTCCTTGTACTGTGGCAAAAAAAATGTATTCCAACACTTACCAGGTGACCTAATATTGGACACATTACATCATGGAAGCAAATTCATTGTGGACCATTCCCAAAAGTTATGATGCTGTTTCTAGCTTCTTCTAAAAATGACTGTTCTGTCTATAGTTAGCCTTTCCAAGGATGCCACTCGCCTCCCTTTAAACTAAGCAATAGTTTAGTGTGTAAGTTTGCATTTGGGTTTAAGGATCTTCCCTTGAACACATTTTACTTTTTTTTCCAGAAGCAATATAAAAAAATTTGCCCAAGCCTAAAACAAGTGAACAGAAATAAATGGTGTACTTCTGAGATGCAGGAATTCCAAAAGAGTCAAGGGCTTCCTGCACTAAAGAAACACAGAAAAGAATCAAGGGCACCTTCTTGATCCGAACTATAGAAGCTGCAGGGGAAGTTGGAGTTGCACTAGCTGAACACCCTGCGAGAGAGACAAGATGCTGTGTGGAGAGCCTCAGGGATGGAGGGAAAAGAAGTGATGCCTCTGTATTGTCAGGAACTAACACATTGCCTGGAACTCAATAAATTTTTGTTGAAATAATAAGGATGACTTTTGATATGGCAGTTATGAATAATTCTGCACAGCACAAAAAGTTGCTACAGATAATTAAAGTTAACTATAAAATCATACAGAAGTTTTCCAGTAAGTTGAAACTTGTGCAGTTGTAATGTCTCAATACATTACATTTTGGAAGAAGATGGGGGAAATAAAACGATGAAAATGATATAAAGTGATTTTTTTAAAAATTAAAGCATAAAAGATGAGAAGTTTACTATATGTTATGTGATGACTTTCTAATTCTGAACTACTTAAAGATAATTGTTTCTTTGCGTTGGTGGTATAGTGGTGAGCATAGCTGCCTTCCAAGATAATTGTTTCTTTGATGACATATGTTTTTCCGTATATACATATATTTGATGCATATCCTCTTACATATATTTTTCCTAACAGTGACCAAAATAAGTCTTTATAAATTAAAAAATCTAAATAAAAAACATAATTCATTCCTAACAAACTGATGCTCTGAAATATGAATGCTATAGGTCAATGACTATATCAAAACCCTAAGATTTTAAAAATATACATCTATTTAATACATAAAGCAATACATTTATAGCAGAGTGTTGATGTAAATGTGGGGAAAGATTTCCTTAAAAGAAATAATTTCACAGTCACTCTGTGTATATAAAGATGATTCTCAGGGCAGTCCCCCAATTAACAGGGAGAGAAAAAGAGAGAGAATTTAATTAATGTGCATTAAGAACTTTTTAATTTCCTAGGACGACTGCTGAGAGAAGGGTTGGTGGGGCCCAGAATAAGGTAAACAGAGAGTAAGGAAGGAGAAGCATGCAGAATACAGGAAGAGAGGACCTAGGGAGAGTGTATCAATAATGGGAAATGGCTTGCGGACGTGAAACACAAGGGATTTCATCTTGAACTAGAAGTTGTCTGTTATGCAATCCTGAAAAAATAAACCTTGTCTTTGTCTTCAGACTTTCAGAGTTTGGTAGAGAAATTGTCATTTTTTATCACAATTAAAAAAATTTGATATTTACTATAGTCAAGTGAGCTTCAGAAGGACAACTATATTTATTTTTAACACATATTGCCTTGACACTCTGAAAAAAATTTTTATTGTGGAAAATTTCAGTAACATAAAAAGGTAGCGATAAATATAATTATCATCTAACTTAAGTAACGATCAACTCATAGCTGATTTTGGTTTATAAACTCCACTGCATCCTCCACTGCTTGCTTGCCCTGGACTATTTTGAAGCAAATGCCAAACATTGTATCATTTTATTCATAAATATTTCAGTATATTTCTTTACAATATAAGATACAAAATAATAAAAAATCCTCATGATACCATTATCACACATAAATTTTACCAATAATTTATTTTCATAATCATCTAGCCAGTGTTCAAATTTTCCTAATTGTCTCATAAATATTTTTAACTTTTAGGTTCAGATCCAGATAAGTTCCAAATTCTGCAACTGATTCATAGATGTCTTAAATTTCTTTTACTACAAAGCTTTCCTTTCCATTTCTTTTTTTTTCCTGTAAATTTACATGTTTATAAAAATGGACTGTACGTCCATTAGAATCTAGATTTTTGCATCACTAGTAAATAGTAACAAAATTTTGAATTTTACCAGTCTATTAGATGAGAAAGTATATCTCAGTGAATTTTAGATTATGTGTGATATTGAGCATCTTTTCACATATTTGAGAGCACATGCCTTGGGATCTTTTTTTACGATCTCATTATTCATATCTCTTGTCCATTATTCCAGTGTGTTGTTGATTATTTTCTTCTCTATTTTAGAAGCCCTTTATATATTAAGGATATTAATTCTTTGTGACATAAATTAAAAATCATTTTTGTCCCAGTTTCTCACTTGTCTTTTTATTTTGCTGTCATGGGTGTGTGTGTGTGTGTGTGTGTGTGTGTGTCTGTTTACGTGTGTCTTGATATACCAAATAAAAATTATTTTTATGTAGTCCACCATGTTGAAACCTATATAGTATAAAGAGCCTGGCTCAAATCTCTCTTCTCCTAGAGCCAAGTTATTATTATCTCTGAGTTTTTCTTCCTTTCTTTTTTTAATCTCAGCTTCATTGAAGTATAATGAACAAATAGAACTGTAAGATATTTAAGGTGTGCGTCATGGTGATCTGATGTATGTATACACTGTAAAAGGATTCTCCCCCACTATCTAGTTAATTAACACATCCATCATCTCACATATTTATCTCTTTTTGTATATGTATGAGAACAGTTAAGTTCTATTCTCATAGCAAATTTCATTATACAATAGAGTGTTATCAGCTATATATGTTTATTCGTGGAATGAATTGATACATTGACCCTATCTACCTTGTAGAATTTTTGTGAGTATGAAATAAGCCTACCTGTGTAAAACGCCATCACTTGCTGGAATATTATAGCTATTGGACAGCTAAAATAGTTGTTCAATAAATACTAGTTCTCTCTTGCCAACACCTTTTTCTGTACTCTATGTACACAGCCTAATGATACAGAATAAATCATGTATTTGCCTTGAGATTCTAGGGAAAAATAGCTTTTTCTCGGGTAAGGTCAGTGTATGTCAAATACTGTCCTAGGAACTGGAGCTGCATCTCTTAACCTTTTCCAGATTATAAAAAATCTCCTTGGGTTGCCAAAATGAACCGGGATATTCACTGGCTCTTACGAAGCATGACTTACCAGGTTAATTTAAGAGCTCAAATGTTTTAGAGGATATTTGTCAGTTGGATTAGAAACATCTCTACTAACCAGCAGAACTTATCATAGCATTACCTGGCTCTATAATAAGAGAATACTGGGAGTAATGGAGGGAAATTAATAAGGTAATGATAAAAATATTGATGAAGGTTGCTCTTCTGATGGATGCGAAAACTGACGTACCTTTCAAGGCAGCAAGAAGCTCTCGCTGATTCTGTATGACGTTGTCTGCTTGTAAGGAGACATAATATAAATGTCCACCATCCACTGTGTGCTCAAAAACCATTTATGAGTTAAGAAAATTGGATCCAGGTTGATCTGAAGATTTCTCGGAAAATATCTATAAAGAAAAAACTTTTTGATAAAACAAGAAGGGAGACATATATATTTAACTTCAGAAAATATTTATTTGGAGATAGTTTTTTAACACATATTTAAGAATGATGGAGTTAATTACATATGAATCCCTTCTCATTAAATTATATTTTGAAGGACCTTTACTTGAAATCCTCTTGTTAACAGTTAGACAAGTAGTCTTCATTTTAGCCATTTCATTGATCACCATGGAATTAACCCCTCAAATTAGTCTGGATCAGTGTGGATTTACACTATAAACTACAAAAGTTGGTCTACAGACATGACAGACATGGCAAAAGAAATTAACACTTCAAAACACTACCAATTTAGTGACCTACTTTTAAGGAAGATTAACCTATAGTGAGAATGTGAAACTAAATTAAATTCCAGTTAAATACAAATATTTTTCTTCACATACTGAGTCATCTGATTCAGACCCTGCAGGGTACAGTGTTACCTTGCTTGGTGAACTGCATAATTATTTATAGAGTTTCTCACTATTAAGCTTACCCCTTATCTAACTTTACACAGGCAGTCTAGTTAGTGACTCTTATAGAGATATCCTGCTGCATAATATGGTCCCACATGGTAGGTCAGGGCCCAGATGCCCCTTTTTCCATTCTTTGTTGATGGTTTGAAAATATCAGGACAATGACTGCATGCCACATTGGTTTTATAATTCCTAATCTAATGTCTCTACGGGGGGCTCTAATTCCATATAATGTGTATAAAACACAGAGATAAATGTTACTTATTATTGAGAATGGAGGTTCAAGGACCTATTGTGAAGCTTTGTACTTATTGATGGAATTTTAAAACTAGGTTATAAAAAAGTCATTTCTTGATGAAGCATTAATGATAAATAACAAGCCTTCAGGAGACTAAAATACTTAACACTCAAAGACATTTCCATTTGAAGCATTTTAAGAATATGAACTAATGGAATGCAAATTGTATTTCTCATAGGGTACAATATTAGTTCTATGATGAAACTGATTTAGTGTTAATTGAGTGAAATCTTTTAAGTTCTTAAAAGTAACAATGTGTGTGTTTTAAAGAGAATGATTTTTTGACTGAGATAATGCATATGGTTGACATTAGGACAATTAGACATGTTTCTCTTGCTTAAGAATAGAGGAAGAGAAAAACTTCATGGAAACATAATGGTGAGAACACTTTCTTACTGCTCAAAGTAGAAATGAATAGGAAAAGAGAAGAAAGTGATAATGGTGTCATCTAAGGGAAAACCTCCTGGAGCCAGACAGAACCAGATAAAGTCCAGATTAAGTTGTCCATTTTCTCTAAACGTCCAACATTATCCTAAAGATAGCCTTAAGAAAATTCTTTAGGATAACTAGGATGCATAAAAGTTTGAGGGACTGATGCCAGGCTGTCAATGTATTAATTTGCAATTAGAATGGGGACTATCATATGGTACTAGAATATTCTGTTCTAGTATTGTATTCTCTCTCTATAGTCAAGCTCTGTAGGTAAAACTAAATCATAATCAGGAAGATGCTATTTCAGAGTAGAATCTGAACAAAAGGAGTTAAATGAATTAAATATGGAATTGCCTCATTCTAAGGTGGCTTAACACACCTCTCTCAAAAAGTAAGGGGTTTGCCAATGGCACCAGAAATCAGTAGTCTATCAGCTATCATCACCTCCATCCATTTCCACTGGAGGAACAGCCTTGCCGTTTGGATTGGAAATACCCGATGGCTGAGAGATGAGTCTTTCTCTACCATACAGAGTGTTTGAATGGGTACTGTTAACAGCAGCCTATATGACTTTTATTTTTATTTTTATACTGATCAGTTGCCTTTTGGATGGACATAGTTCTTTTGAATGTGTGTGTGTGTGTGCAATGCATGTGTGTGTATAACTGGACTGGAGTTAAGCCTGATTGTATGGCCTATCAGTCATCCTGTTTCTTTCTAGCAACTGCTTGTCTCTTTACTAATTCATTACTTGTTGCTTTTACAATTTACTTCTCCATGGACAAGTTCGCTTAACTTATTTCCAAAATCTTTGAGGGATATCTCTGTGTAGCCTTATACTTATTAATTAAATGTTATTATATACTTTCTCTTACCAAAAAAAAAAAAAAAGGATAAATCACGTGGCGTAACAAAATTCTGACAGTTGATCAAACTGTTCTACCTCTTCAATAAATGAAGTCCTTTTAGTAGTGTTAAACAAATTTCCATTGATGGTGCAATGATTTAGTATAATGAATAATTTGAATTACCTGTGGTAATAACTATCTGTGGAAAGATATATAGCATCTGAGCACCACCCAGACAAATCCTATATAATCATCATATGACCTGACATATGACATCAGGGAAAGAATTTGAGATTTGTTCCCAACTTAGGCTCCATATTATTATCTCCACTTAGTCCTTTGTCCTGGTTTGTTTTGAATACTGTGATGTAAGCTTTATAACATTATTAGAAAAACAAAAAATGCTATGTTCTTATTTCATATAAAAGAAAAGTGGAGTTTTAACCAGTAAAAACAAGCTATCCCATCTAATTTTTTCACAAACTGTGCTCCTGGGATGTTTGAAAGCATCAATGGATGATGCTGAATAATACTGCATGAGTGAGGGCTTGGGTGTAGTACTTTGAATAACCTCGTGATGTTTGCTTTAAGAAGAGTAACTCTGCTTTCTGAATTCTATTAAAAAATCAATTTGGTTGCTAAAATCAGGACTGTAATTTAAAAATTTTTTCAAGACATTAGTCAATCCCTTTGTGAGTAACTGATTCTTTATGGGCAATATCAGCACTTTAGAAGTTACCTTACTGAAACCACAATGATGGCTGGTAACAGAGTGCTTTCTTGCATCACCTCTAGTGTAGTAGACAGAATCCTGGACTAGGAGTATAGTAGACAGAATCCTGGACTAGGAGTTAACAGATCTAGATTTTAATCCTGATTAATCCTATGATTTCAAATTAATTAGTTCTTGTCTATTGGTCTCTGTCATGGGTTGAACTGTATCCCCTCAAAATTCATATGTTGAAGTCCTAAGCCCTAGTACCTCAGAATATGACCTTATTGGAGATAGAGTCTTTACAGAGGTAATCAAATTAAAAATGAGGTCATTAGGTGGACCCTAATCCAATATGATGGATGATCTTCTAAGAAGGGAAAATTTGAATACAGACGTACAGGGAGAACTATGTGAACATAAAAACAGGACAGAAGCCTGGATCAGATCTTTCCCTCATTGCCCTCAAAAGGAATTTGCCCTGACAACAACTTGATTTCAGACTTCTAGTCTTCAGAACTTTGGGACAGTAAGTTTCTGTTGTTTAAGCCACTCTGATTGTGGTATTCTCTTACAGCAGCTCTGGCAAACTAATATAGCTTCTTTAATGCCAAAAGGTGATAATGAAATCATTCTATAACAGCCCTCCAGACCTTTATCTCTCTGTGTCTCCTATCTCTGTGCTGTTGCAATCATATTTCTGAAATGCGGATCTGGTCTTGTCAATGTCTTGCTTAAAGCCCTTCGCTGAAACACCTACAGAGTTATGTAAGATTCACACCCCTACATATGGCAGACAGGGCCTTTCATGGTCTGATCCAAAGCCACCTTTTTATTGCTTCTTGACCCCTAAATGCCATTGTCATCCATTTTCTCCCTGGAGAGTCTGCCCTTTCCTTTAATTTGGGAGATGGTGACCAGTACAAAGGAATTGTGGGAACAGGAGCTTGGACAGCTAAAAGGGACAGGAGATGGAAAGTAGGAGGAAGAAAGAAAAAAATAGTAAAGTCACATTGTCTCTGTGTAAAACTTCGTTGATTAAACAAAATGAATTTAAAGGTATGTATATGCAGATTTTTTCTGTTGTCTGGTGTTGCCAAAAATTCTTCAAACTACTAGTGGCATGAATAGCTGCTTTGTAAAAAATTTTTACAGTTAAAATTGAAAGATTTCATATATGAAATCAGATACTTTAATAAAGCCTTTCTATATGCCCAGTCAAGACCAGTAAACTTTGATCAGTGTTGACATAGTACACTGTCTAAACCTCTTCTCTGTCATGGATTACAGGAGGCAAATTTAGTCTTCTACCTCATAAGGCTGTCAGCTATTTGAAGTCAAGGACCACATTTTAATTATTTCTTTCAATCTACTATACATAGCAAAACAAAAAATTTTAATATAGTTTTTAAGAAATTAAAGTGTAAATAATTTTTAAGAAATGAAAGTTACAATATAGTATTGTCATATACCAGCTCTTCATATACTGCTCTAAAATTGCTTGAACGATCAAAAACTGTCTTTAAATATAAAAGTCCCTGCTACTGCTCACCTATGGGAATGTCCATAAGAGAAGCAACCCAACTGCAAGTCAACCCCTGCCTCTTGGGGTTCACTTTTGAAAAAACTGTTGTTTCTTTTTGCATAGCAGCCCTAAGGGTCCTGCTTTCAGCAGCCACCTGTGGATAACTGCCTTCTCTTTGAGATGCCCCTTATCACCACCATTGGCCATAGTACTCCATAATGAATTTTGTTTGTACCATCCCAAACGCACCTTCCAAATCCAACCAAATCCATTCTCCTATGATCTAATAACCAATACAGACAGAAACTTGATTTTAGAGATAAAGATGATAACTGGAGCATACTTACGGAGAGAAATAGCTTTGTTCACAGCCTCTCAAGTACTTTATATTTGGTATTATGTGACAATGCCTTTGGAATTTTAGGAGACCCAGTTACTATGTAACTGTATCAAAACAGAAAAGATTATCAGCAGCAAAAAGGAATGTAGGGAATAGGCCAAAGGATAGGGTTGGGGAAGATGAAAAGTATGGAGGCTGTAAATGGGGGGAAAAAAGGGGCAAAGCTCATAATTCACCCAGGTCCTGTATATATATTTCTTGACTGCTCAAATGAAAATTAAATTATGGGGGGAGTTATACTGAAGCAAAAACCCTCTGAATTTTTGCAGCTTAATTGGTAGCTTTTTAGAAAACTGTAAAAGACTTTAAAATTACAATTCCAAATTCTACGAAATAGAGCCATTTTAGTGCTTCTAAACCCTATTATTTTAAGTTTTAACATTTTTTCCTGAACTAAGTGTGGAAGATTAAGGTAACATAATTTGGCTCCTGGGTCAGTCTTGGCATTCTTCACCTTGCCCAGATGTGTATGATTACATTTTCTATTATGTGAACCATGGGGACATATGGTATTTTCATCAAGAAGCGATGAAAGAAAACATCTTTAGGAAAGTTGAAAATACTGCCTAACTTAGGAAACAAGTTTCTGAGACTGGGGATTTTTTTTCTGTTTGGCTACCTGGCAGTCTAAGTGTAGCATGTGTATGTGGAGTGTTGAGGGATACGGTATGGTTGGAGAACAAGCATGCAAACAAATCAACCAAAAATATGTAACTCACAAGACTTGGTTAAACTCTAGATTGTTTATGATTTATACAAAAAGAATACAGAAAGAAAGAAATGAGTGATACATGTAGAAACCAACAAGTTTTATTTCTGAAAAGCTCTGGCAAATGGTAAAGATACTTGTGAAAAAGTAAGACTACTCAGTCATTTTCCAGTGTTTCTGGACTTAACTCTTGATTAACTGGGAAGTAGGCTGAAGACTGCAGCTGTTCTTCCAGCTGTACTTTGAGCAAAAGCTAGGTTTAAGTTCTCCCCTCTACTTAATGAGTCAGGAATATAAATTAATAGAGGCTAGCAGTCACTTCCCATAGTGAAGTTTGAGTTCAGCCTTGACTATCCCATAGTTGTTCTAAGCTGAGCACCCATTGTGTGACTTTTGGTTGGGTGAAGAATCATATGTTCTCATAAAATGTTTGCTTTCCTTTTGGTGATCTTAGTGTATGCTGGATTTAATATCCATACCCACATTCTAAGAAAAACAAAGCATAGAATTTCAAAAATCAAAATATCTAAGTAATTAAATGAGTGGGAGGACAGTATTAAGAATATTTTAACCATGTATTATTTTTTTGGTCCCTCTACAGCCAGGAGTAAATTTCCCCCCGAAAGTAAAATGCAACTAAAAATTTTTACCGATGTTGTATCCATTTAGCAAAATTGTCCAAGACTAAAGAGATGATGATCTTATTACCTATGAAATAGTTTTCTTTGAGAATACATTTTAAAGGATTGATACTAAAGCTGGTCTATAAAGGTAAAGTTAGTGTTAAGACATTAAATAGGAAATTTATTGTGATATGACAGATTTTTTTTAAAAATCTAGAATTTTTGCTTTGAAATCAAGTGTTATCCAATGAAGGAGACAGTCATTAAGTGCAACAAGAATATGGCTGAAGAAGTATTTATCTTGGCAATTATAATTATGCTCTTATGTTAGCTACAAACGCCAAGCACATTATCATTTGCATTTATTTATTTAAATAATCTAATCAAAAATCTATTTGTAGTATTTTAATATGCAGGGGCCATCTCTAAATAGAGCATTGGGTCTTCCAAATGGAAATACTTTTCTCATGTTCAGACCACTCTGTTACATTGCTTCTGAAATGACAGAGTAATTAGAAATTCAGCCCAATACAAATATTAGAATGTGCATCAAAGTACTATTTTAGATGGACATGTTCTCTGGAATATTATCTATCTTTCCTTCAAATATATTTTTCTTTCCTAAGAAGCAAAATGCTAGAAAATAAATAATATCATTGGGTAGAAAATATATAAATAATGTGCCAAGAAATGTAGAAAAGATTGAAAATCTTTTGGAAAAAGGCAGATTTAAAGATAATAACCAAATAACAATAAAAAAATAATAATAGAGGAAAATAATTTTCAAGAGTCAATATAAGAGGCATAGGAAATTTAGTAGTAATAAAACTACACTGAAAAAAAAAACCCAATAGTCATTCTCTGTGTTCATCATGTATTTGTCCTTACTGTATTCAATTTTAGTGACAGTTCTTTCTTTAGTACTTCTGTAAAATACTCATGCTCTTGTGCTCTGAATCTATGTTTGAGTTAATGTGGATAGCAAGTGATGCTTATAAGCAAGCATAGATAGGTTCTCTGCCCTGGTCTCATTAATTAATGCATACAAAGGGTGCATCTGTTTTGATTTAATCATAATTTTGAAACCATTAGCTCATGAATATGGCTCAGTTGTCTATTCAAATGCCCCTTTTTCTTAGTGATAAACTTCTCAGTGACATTCTTTTTGAATAACTTCATTCAAGGCACAAAATATGGAATAGTACAAAATGCAGAAGTTTATAGTAAGATCCATTCTTTATATGAGAGTGGTTTAAGAAGGACTAGTTAAGGATTTGATAGTAACATTAAAGGAATACATTACAAACTACAATGATTTTTTTCAACATAAAGTGAAATGGAAGTCTGGTATTTTTCTGGTAAATATGACAAGGCAGAAATATTGCAAATCTTGCTCTTTATTTATTTTTTTGCAATTCTTGCTCTTTAAAATATATACCCAATATAGTCTTAGAATACATTTAAAATTGTTCTTTTTATCTCATTCTACTCACTGATTAAAATATTATTCTATAGACAATTTCACAAGAAGCATTTTCAAAATATACTTATAATACAGACACTTATTTTCTTGAGGAACATTGATCAAAAGAGCTGTGTGGTAATATATATATATTTGCATACCCATATATATGTGATGCTAACATGTTTGTGTGTTTATGTGTATAAATTTATGCACACAAAATCTCTGCTTCTGGCTCAGCCAGCAGTGGTATAACAGGTGTGGTAACTTTCAGAGCTGAGTTGAAGGACAGTTGGACTCCAAAGAGTGTGGGTCCAGGACTCCATCAGTTCAGGATGCATCCAAGAGCATCAAGGAAAGAATCACTGTCCATTCCTGCTTACTCCTTGCTCTTTAGCTTTGTTTAGGCCATCTCCACAAACCAGGCATGCACTGTCTTCTGTTTCCAATTACTTAAGCCCTACATGTTTTTCAAGGCTCCTCAGAGCTGTATTCCTTCAGGGATCCAAAATCTGGTTGCCCCTATTCCAGGATTTACTGACTATTCCCTTCTCTCCTGTAACATTTAATATCCCTCTATTTAGCACTAACTTTTAAAATTTCCTTCTGATTCTAAGGACCATCGTCCTTTTCCTTGTAAAATCCTCTGCTAATGATCATCTCAGCACATAGCTCAGTCCTAAGCACCATGTAGGCAATTGAAGGACCAGGGTCAGGAAGAGTCCTTTATTTGGATCTCTCTTATAGCTGCACACATGAATTTTAATATTTTGGGGGGTCACTGAACTTTTGGAGAATCTTGAAGATAGTACCTCTCTTCTCAGAAAAAAACGTGCACGTACACACACACACACACACACACGCCACCGACACACACAATTTTGAATGTAATTTTAAGGATTCATCAACCCCAACTTACCAGACTCTAAATTTCTTTGCCTACAGATAATGTGTTGTATTTTTCAACACCTAACATAGTACCTAGATGCTCAATAAATCTTGTCTGAGATAACAGAACTGACCTCAAGCCTTTGCCAGACTTAACATTTCCTATATTTGTATTCCATGCAGTACTTAGCACAGTGTCTTGGCCATAATAGTAATTTAATAAATATTTGTAGAATCAGATTAAATTGTGCTTTCTTTGTATCTCAGGGAAACACCAATTACAGTGATATAGGTAGATGGGGCTAAATAAATATTTAGAATGTCTCTTTCAACACTTAATCTTATTGTTTTAACATTCCACAGTATTGAATCCACTAAATTAAGTATATTAGTGTTAATAGATACACTTTTAATCTTTTTTCATGAAGTGTTTAAATTTTGAAGTATTTAGGTGTAAAGAAACAAAGTAGAATTCATTCCTCCTTTTATAAATGTCACTACATTCTATTTTGAGAATAATGTGAATAAGGACCAGGTCTCAGAATTCTAAAAAGAAGCATTTCTACCAGTGAAGGGAGAGTATGAAGCACCTTTTTCTTCCATAATCAACCCAAATGTCTCACCACTTAAAACAGATTCTCTTCTGCTTGGGTAGCAATCCTGTTCTTAGCAGTTTTTGGAATAATGAACAACCCTCTTCATAATGACAGAAGTTTGAGCCTTAAAAATAAAATAAATAATTAAAAAGGAGAAGGGAGAGCTGACTGATTGGAACGACACCAAATTTTTATTTTCAATGGCATTTGTAGCTGCTAGAAGTGACACAATTTGTGTCAGTCTAGGAACTCGAGGTAACCAAACATAAATTGTAATTGACCAAATTAAAGTCAGAAGAATTGTAATTAGTTCATTAAATAAATGATGTGGAGAATTTTCCAACTTAGCGGTGAGATACAAAACAACAGACCATCTATTCAATAGAAAATAAGATGAAAAGGGATAAAATGAGAATAAAAACCTAACTTTCTCTTCAAAGGAAGCAAGGAAAAGACAATGGAAAGAAACATTAAAAAAAGAAGATTCAATTAGCAAGGAAGGAGACAGGAGAGAAATCCAAGTGGGATTCTCTGGGAGGGAAAAGAACATGATGAAAGTTTAGATCATAATCTATAAATAGCCTTTTATTTTATAAATCCTTCATGTGATGCATAGATTATACAGTGAGCCTCCCTTGTCCTTAATATGTACAGTCTCCCGGCACATACCTTTTAAGGCAATCTGCAATAGTAAGCACAAAGAACTAGCTCTGGAAAATGACTTGGGCTTCTCTCTTTCAAAAACCAAGAAGAAAATTGATGAGGAGAGAATCTGGGAACATTGCACAAATTGTCAGGAGGGCACAGGAGGGATCGAGTCTTAGTAGACTATGAAATAATTCAGAGAAATAGTATGCCCCGCTTCTTCTAACTTACCGGTGTGAGAGATAATTTTAATTACCATCCTATAATGAACCTTCCTCCAAATAACACAGGCAACCCCTTTACCTGTCATTCTTCACAAACAGGTCAGGTCCTGCGTTCTGTTGATCTCTTCTCACCCCTTTGTTCTGATTTTCAATTCTATGAGATGCTAGTGGTGGTGGAAGGGTGCTGAGGATGGAAAAGCAGAGAGCATGAGAGGGCAGATATTTTGTAATTAATTCTTTGATGTTTTGTTGTATTTTCAAGGACTACTTTCCATAGTGTTTCCAAACAGTCTTTGTAATCTTACACCAAATTTAATACTCTCTTCCAGTTTTTTAGTGGGACAAGGAATGGGCAAAGGTAAACCGCATGATAGTTGCCACTTCTCTAGAATATTCTTTATTGCTGGCCATTATTATTTTTAAAGAAAAAAACCTTATTTTTAAAGAGGAAATAAAATAGGCCTTGAGACCCCACTCCCACCCCTAGACATAGGGGTGGGTTATATACATCTGCATTCTCAGCCTTCTCTTCCCACCTCGCTGGGAAAACCAGAGTGACTGAGGAAAAAGCATTCATCTGTGGTTTGATGGGCACAGTCAGTGGATCTCCCTTCCTGTTAGACAAGTTTCAAGACATTTAAAAATCAATGCCATCGTTTTTTAGGAAGTTAAATATATCACATCTTCCTTCAGTCACTTATTTTGAATATCACTCTCTCCTACACATATCTTCTAGCCAAAAAGATTATATAGAGTTTTGTTTTGGCATTTTTATTACAAAAGAAATGTGTTGTATTTTGAGAATTAAAAATATATATAATTTATACTTCCCACTGACAATTTTTCACCATAAATCTCTTTGTACTTTCATTGAGCTTTTCAAAATGTCCATGGAAAAAATGATTTAATATTACAAAGTAATGAGTGCCAATAAGAGAGGCTGCATTTCTCTAAGGAATCTCTTCCCTGTTCTTCAGATTAAAATATATTCATTCTAAGAGTCACTTTCTAGATTCAATACTCCTGCCTACATTGTCTAAATTTCTCTTATTGACCACAAAAAATGTTGTTTTTTACCTTTCCATCTTTGGCATTTTTGTCTTATTTCAAATGCTCTGTCTGGGGAAACTCATCTGTACCATAATTTAAAATACTTTCTTTGTGGGGTGCCTGGGTGACACAGTCTGTTAAGTGTCCAACTCTTGGTTTTGGCTCAGGGCGTGATGTCAGGGTCATGATGTCAGGGTCATGATGTTAGGGTCATGAGATGGAGCCCTGTGTCAGGCTCCACGCTCAGTGTGGCATCTGCTTAAGACTTTCTCTCTCTCTCCCTCTGCCTCTCCCCGCCAGCCCTGACCCCACACTCTCTCTCTAAAATAAATGAATAAATCTTTAAAAAATAAAATAAAATACTTTCTTTGTATCAATAGCTCCCAAATGTACACCTCCAGCCCAGAATTCACTCTTCAGCTTTCATACTAGAGGTCATATCCACCTGTTTATTCAACATATTCCTAAAGAAGGCTATTATTCTCTGGTAACCAAATCTAGACCAGCTCATTCTCCCAGATTCCATCTCTCAAGATATCACAGTTGACCTGGGTTTCACTTTTAACACCTTCCATTCTTTCACAGTTTCCTTTCATCCCTGCCTCACATAGTGGCATCCAGCGATTCTTCAAATCCTGTGAATTTTCCCTCTGATAGGATTTTTGGAGTCATCCCATCATTGCTATTTTCACTGGTAGTGCTATTACAATGTCTTGCCATCTCTTGCCTAAATTATTGTAAGAATGTCCTACATGATTTGTGATTCCAATGTAATCTGTATATACTTTCATATTTTTATGAAAATATGATCCTCTAAGTCCCTTCAATTAAGTCTCCTGATACATACTTTTAAAATTCCTTCTAAATCTGGCCTCTGCCTACCTGTTCATCCTCATCTCTTACCACTTATGGTATCACTTAACTATTTTGGGCATAGTTCCATATCAAATAAAATACCTACATATTTTAGCAGCCCATATTAATAGCTACCAAATTTGCATTGTATATACAAACCATAACATATTTTAGTAGTTCTCTATTGATAAGATTTATAATCTTTACTATTATAAACAATGGTGCAAAGACTATCCTTGTGCATATAGTTCTTCATATTTTTACACTACGTGATTATCTCCATAAGATAAATTCTGAGCCCCAAGTCCACAGGGTAACTGCAACAAGGAGCAGATGACACCTGAACATGTAGAGTGTTGCATGGGAGGAAAGAGACACTGAGATTCTTGAATCTGGATCTTTTAAAATGGATGCCTGCTTTTTGCCCTGAAGAGAGACATTATGGGGAGCAAGGATGCTTGTCCTTTGTTCTGGAGAAAGACACTAACTTCCAAGACTAAGCAAGCTCGCTCTTTGCTCCAGATAGAGACATTATCTCTATCTTTCAAAGCTGTTCACTAGACAAACATTCTTGAAAGGATAGTTTGGAGCAAAAGACAGTCAATGACTCACTTTTCAAGACAAACAGAAATGTGAGGGACCCATGGATGGTCTCCCCACAATTCATTCCTTCTAAACCATCTTGGCTTCTGGCAAATGTTCCCAGGAGTACATGACTGCATCAGCCACTGTGATTTGACCAACAGAGGCTGGGGCAAAATTCTTTCAATTTGTCTCATACAAAATTTAATTAAGGTTGATATCAGTAAGACTTCAAGCAGGAGGACAAGGCTAACTTGTGGGATTGACATCTACCAAGCCCCCCCAAATCCCATGCCCAACCAGCTGAATAAGTCCCATAAAAGCATCATGGCCTACCCTCAGGAAACCAGGTTGCTTTCTCATTAAGTCTCTATTTTGACCTTCCCACAAATTGGAAGCATTAATCCAGGTATCTGGCTGCATGGAGAAAATCTAGATCATCTGGAAAATCCGTCATTTATAACAACACTGACCAGTGGTGTCATTAATCATTTCAGCTGATGACAGGGACAAATTTCATGCCACTTTTTCTAATTAGATGATCCCTATTATAGAGGTCTCCAGGGTATATGTAATAATGAAGGAGGAGTCCCTCCAGAAGCTTCCCCAAGTAATCAAGGATGGCTTATTTTGGAGAGATCTTCACAGTCATCTAAGGGCAAAATTATCTATTGGTGGTTTCTTTAAACACTGGAAGGTCATCTTATGACAACCCATCAGGCACAAGTCACTGAATTTTGGGGAGGGAGGCAAGGTAATGTCTGACTTCAACATAGATAGTATAGTCCTAGAGATGTGTGTGGTGCTTAGAGAAAGAACATGCTATCTCTAGTTGTCCATCTCCATCAGTAGGACCTACATCAATTAGGAGCATAGTCTGACAGTAATCAAATATGGCCTTCCACTGGCTGTTAACCCTTATGATTCCCGGTTCTGTTTGAATTTTTGAATCTAGTTCTCAGGCTGTTCTTCCAACCCAACTTATTTGTCCACAGCACCAGTCAGGTGGCACTTAGCTGCCCCATGGAATGACAGGCAGCTACAGCCCTGGGGAAAGGCAAGTATCCCCAAAGTGCTCACAGATGTTTTGTGTGGTTGGTAGATGAGCTGGGATCATAATCTGCTCTTTCCCATAGATTTTTCAGCTAGGTTCTAGGAAAGAGTAATCAAATAATGGTCAGGCCCATCTGACAGGACATGACAGATCTAGTAGTCAGTTCTATTCAAGGTATTTGCAACAGCTTGGGAGAGCCACAACAGGACATTTTCCTTCATAAATAAAGTGGCAGGGGTGATTACAAAAGACAGAATTCATTAATGCTCACTCTCGCTCATACTTTCTGGGGTCTGAAGTGTTCCTTGCCCAGAAAACAGGGATGTTGCTGTCCCTCAACCACCACAAAATCTGTGCATAGCTATATCCTCCCCTTTTTTTATAATCATCTCCTGCTCGTACCCAGGCCTTTCATACAGAAAGCAGCAGGACATGGGCATTTTTATAAAACTTATCAAAACCCTATGTCTCCCACTTTGACATGTGTTGGCCATTGTAGGAGGACACTCCAAGCAGTGTACTCAACCAAGTAGTTATTATCTTTATGTTCTAAGACCATGTCAATTCAATAAGATAAACCAAGTAGCTGACCAAAATTAAGTTAGAATTCATTAGGTCCCCTTTTGGCTGGGCTGCCACCAAGAGGGTTATCAACCAGGCCATCCTGAGGTTGCTATTAGGGACAAGAAAATTCATTATGCCTAAGAATAGCTCAGAAATCTGAATTTTCAAAATAGGTTTATATAGCGTCTCCTTTTGTCCTGATCATTATGACAATTATCCAGTAAGTGGTCAGGGGAAGATGATCCACTTATGTAGAAAGACATATTTGGTGATCAAAGTGTCTTTTTAAACTGTGTGGACCAGGATGAGGTGAGGGAGTTAATGTCAGAGAGCTTTTGAAGTCAATATTTTATGAGGATATTCTAAAAATCAATAATATCAGATGATTGTGAATGGTCAAGTACATGGAAGATCATCAAAACCTTGCTATTAACCCTTGTTCACTGCCTTCTGTGGTAAGAGTTACATGACTGTCAAACTGCAAATGAACTGGAAAGCTGAAAACCTGATACCTATTAGTAGCCAGAGTTGGCTCATTGGACTGGAAAGGCAACAGCACAATCTGAAAAATGTCAATAGTGGTAAGGTACCATTGGTAACCCTGAGAGGGGGTCAAGGGCCAATTTTAGCCAATCTGCCATAAAGATTCTTACAATCTGCCAGACTACAGTTTTCTAAGTAGCAGAGCAAACATCTAGGCAAAGTCCAAGAATCATTCAATCTATAACTAGGTTCATCAAGGGTAGTAATGGCGAGAGCTATGAGAACTGTCTTATGCTCTGCCCACAGAGAGGAATAACCACAGTCATTTTTTGGTTCTATATGGCTGGCACTGAGACTGAGTAGCCAGAGTTGCTTAGTAGACACCACTGTGTTTCTACTCATCTGAATCATCAATGAAGTAGGCCCAGATATTTTAGGGGAAGCTCTGTGAATTCAGGGCACCACTCAGGGCACATAACCAGTAGCTTTATTTTTGGCTGCAGAGATGACAGAGAGAGATGATAGGAAGTATTTTATGTGTCCCACTAGCACTTTTCCAGATGTGGCTCTTACCGATCAGAAAAATCCCCAGGACT